TAATACAAAGCTAATCTGTTATACAGATAGCGCAAAATGAAGATCTAAACTAAAAGAGATCTAAAAGAAGATAACCCGATCAAAATTGTTACAGATTAGTTATCCTCTGGAGATATGAATTAAGTTAATTAATTCTGTTCAACCCATATGTATTTTATTTATAGATCATTATTAATTTATTTATATTTTATATTCATTTCTTTCTTATAAATATGACCTGTTTATTCTGTACTTTTAATTTCAGATCTGAATACTTTTAAACAATAAAAATAATTATAAGTTATAAAATTAAAAACTATTCATATCACATTTTATTTTATTTATAACCATTAACAAAATAATCTTATATTCATATTATATTTTATTTTATTTATAATTATTAATAAAATAATCTTATAATTTGATAGCAGTAAATACAAATATCATTCTCTAATATCTATACTATATTACATATTATATATACTTTATATATATATCTTAATTTTGAAATTTAAATCTTATCAAAATAAATACAGAATAATTTGATCAATTAATAAAAAGCATGACTAAATCTATTATTATAAACTATATTTGTAAAGATAAATTTTATCAAGAATATAGTCTATAATAAGTTTTAAAAATTAAGACTGAATTATTTATAAAGATAAAGAGAATTACAATTATTATAAAGATTTTCTAGTACTAATACTTACAAGTATTATATTAAAATAAGATAAAAACAAAATAAAATAAAAAGAAGTTATGATCATGAAAACTAAATTAAGAGTAGATATCTAAAACTAATAAAATATTATAACTAAAACAAAAGATTTAGTATACTGACTAAACTCTCTAACAGTATCTTTTCAATTATTAGGCAAATAAAAAGTATATACCAAAAATAAAATAAACTTATTTAAGTATAATATATAAAATAACTTGTTAAAATTATATTTTCAGTTAAAGCAAGTTAATATATTATAAATAAATATATTTTATAAATTTGAAAAAATAAATATCTTTGTAATGTAAAGATATTAAATTTACATGATATTTTATTAACTGTTCTTCATAAGATATATAATAAATTAATCAAATCATATGATTTTATTTTTATATTAAAATAAAGATAATAATTCCTTAATATACAGAATTTTCAGAATAAATCACATTAGACAATAAATAAACATCTCCAATTTTAGCTTAATCTATGTCATTTTTTACTAAATTAAAGTTAAATAATGGTTTTATTTACTACACTTGTTAAATAATAATCTTCATAACAATAAGTAAACTCTTGCAAAATTCGCTATCAAAATGTCACCAACTACTCGCGAACAAAAGATGCACAGCTTATTACATTATTGGAATGAAGGTATCCGTTCTATATCTGAACTATCCAAACTTACTCAGTTATCTGTCTCTACTGTATGATAAAATGTTGGAAAGCTCAAAAAAACTAGCACTTTGAAGCATAGAGGTGGTAATGGTTGTCCAAAGAAAATAATAGTCAATATAGCAAAAACTATAGGCCAATCCATTCGTCATGACAATACAATATCATTATGTTCTCTTGCCACTAAACTTAACCATGATGTTGATGTGTCTTATCATACAGTTGGCAGACATCTGAAGTCACAAGGATATAAAAAAAATCTGTCTTTAGCTACGCCAATATTAACGGAGACTCATAAGTGGAATCGTATTGAATGAAGCGTCACCTTAATGTAATTGAAAAAAAACCCTATTTACTGATGAAACAACGTTTCAATTGTTCCAAAATACAATTGAACGCTGGTATAAAGGTAAACGTCCAGTTCTTCGTATGCCAAAAGACCGTAGAAAAATCTTTGCCTGGGATGGTTTTTACGCAAAGGGAAAGACGAGTCTATTTTGTTTCCGACGTATAATAAATGGCGAGTTTTATGTTAAAATCCTTGAAGACCATCTCGAAGAGGTCAATAAAATGCTCGGGAAGAAGTGATGCTTTCAGTAAGATAACGATCCCAAGCATACCAGTTGGATAGCTAAAGCGTTTCTTGCTGAGAATGTATCTGAAGTTATAGAGTAGCCGTCTTGTAGTCCCGACCTTAACTCTATAGAAAATTTATGGGCCATTGATAAGAGTAACGTTGAGAAACGAATGTCTATGATCACCAAATTTGGTGCAATCTTCGTGAATTTATGATGAATTTAGTAAATTTTTTTTTGTCACATACTATACATACCATTGCCGTTCCAAAATTTTATCCAACGTGTGCACATGCATATACGTGTACATAAATTCTCAAATGAAAGAAAAAAAAAAATGTACTACACCTTTTGAAAGATGCCGATCTTAGAAAATTCTACAACTGACTTTAATTTCAATAAAATTCCCTATTCACGACCATGGTTCCAACGTCGAAAATTCAAAAGTCAAATTATCGAGCAGACTATTATTGAAATTAGTAAGAAAATGAAGGACAAGGATTTAGCTACGTTGTTCGAAAATTGTTGGTCTCATTCTTTAGGTAAAAAAATTTGGAGTGCTTGTTAAAATTTTTTCTTTTAGAAAAATTAATCAAAAACTTTTAAAGATAATTACGTTTTGTGGCAAGATGATTCAAAGGGCTATCCGCGAACTTTTATTGCTTCTGGAAAACTTGAGTAATAATTAAACCAAGAAGATATTTAAATAGATGAAGTTATCTAGAAGCAAACTCTTTCTTTTTTAGGGTCCTTTATATTCGTGACTCGACCAATCAGATTATTTCTTATACTCCCTTTGCCAAAGATGATCCCGAACTTGCTAAAATGATACTTGGAGTAATAAATATGCAAGCTGAATATTTAGCGAAGGTATCGGTATTATAAAATTATTTTTTTTATTCCATTAGACTTTTATAAAGCAAAATTTATTTAAAATTAGGATATTTATTCCAACTCATTTTTCCCGCCACCCTCTTCTAATTTACCCCGACCATATGATCCTTGGGAAGAAAACGATAAAAGTTATCCGAAACCTTCTTCGGCCGTCTGGCAGGCGAAATATGCTGCTGATAATCTTGCTGCTTTTTTAAAGTTAACCTATCATTATTGGAAGCATACAAACGATCCATCCTTTATGCAAAATGAGCACTGGGTTGATGCTACTCAGCTTGCTATAAACGTGCTCTTTGAACAAATGCGTGGTACAATGGAAGAATTTGGTAATGAAGCATACTTATTTACTAGGCCATCACGAAATAGTAGCGAGACTCTATTACTGGGTGGAAGAGGTATAGTTACTTTCTTTTCAATCAGACAGAAAGATACGTTTTAATTCGATCAATTCTTTTAATAGGTTCTATCGCTAGCAGAACTGGTACGAATATGATTCTTGATTAATAATTTTAAAGCTACACATTTTTTTAATTTTTTACATTTATTTTCTTAGGGCTTATTAAGTCACACTTTCGTCCTTCTGACGATGCATCTTTCTATCCATTTGTTATACCAACAAATGCAATGATTTCGATTGAATTACTTCATCTAAAAGAAATATTGGATAATACAGATACGAAAACATTATTTCATACACTAGATCTATCATCTTATATTCTGAATTTATCACGTGAAATTCGAGCTGCAATTTATAAATATGCAGTTGTAAAACACGCAACTTTTGGGGAGGTTTTCGCATATGAAGTTAATGGATTTGGATCATTTAATCTCATGGATGATCCAAATATTCCGAGTTTAATAAGTTTACCATACCTAGGTTTTATCAAAGCTGATGATCCCTTATATAAATCCACGCGTGCCTAAATTATGAGTCAATGGAATCCTTATTGGTTTGATGGAGAA